GGGAATGGGGGAGTAAGGGTCTTTTGACGGGATGATGGCAGAGGGAAAAAAGAAAGAGTAAGCGTACTAAGCTGCTGCGAGAGTGGCGAGGGGAAGAAGAGGGCAAGGAAACACTTGAAGGGGGGAGGGCGGGGGGAGAAAAGAGGAGGAGGGGGACGGGATGGGGGAGTAAGGGGCTTTTGAGGGGGTGATGGCGGAGGGAAAAAAGAAAGAGTAAGCGTACTAAGCTGCTGCGAGAGTGGCGAAGGTTTACCTACCAGGTAATTCAAAAATTAACTCAGAATTTCAGAAATTATTTGATTTCATTCGTCTGGATTCGAACTCGGGTCTCCCATTTGACAGTTCATGGATGTACCAACTGAGCTAGGCCTGTTGGTAATCAGTTGGTACACATTGGCTAAAAAAATTGGAACGGCGCAGAGAAAGATTACCATGGCTCCTGCGCAAAAAAAAAAAAAAAAGAAAAGAAAGACTTGCACGCCGCCGCAATTTTACATTATTCTTTCTTAGCACCTTGCCGAGCGCCCGGCTGTGTGGGAAAAATTCTTTGTTAGGGAACAAAGGGTCTGTTTTGGGCATGTTTTTATTTAGGGAGACATTAAGCAGAGTTGGGGGAGGAGGCGGAGGGGGGAAGGGGGCGGAGGGGTTCTTGAATCAGGCATGGGGGCTCAACTGACAGCCAATCCTTCCGGAGGAAGTAATCAATGTTGTCAGGGTTTCCCGGGCCATCAAGGGGGGGAGGCGTGAAGTGTGATTCATTTTAATGATTTTATTATCAGCATATTTTTGAGGGACGTTGGGCCCAGTTTCCAGCAGGTGCTGCTCCCCACCGATAGAAAGGAGCCTTTGTGTTTTGTACAAGAAAAGAGGGGAAAAAAAAAAAAAAACATATTGAGAGTCTCATTGTCTGATGGGAATGAGCATCAGTCGGTCAGCAGACAGGTCACAGATCTTGTGGGTGTTTCCCTAGTCTGACTTCTCAGGCCTTGCTGCACTGCACTGAAAAACAATGAAAGATAAAAAAAAAAACAAAAAAAAAAAACAAAGAAAACAAAGAAAAAAAAAGAAAGGGAAAAAAAAGGAAAGGTCAAATATAAATCATACTTGCGGCGCATCGACGTGTGCTGCACCGCGCACACACGCCACACTGTGCACAGCGCACGATGCGCGCGCACTGGGTGCAGCGCACCCAGAAAATAAGGGGTCGAGGGGAAAAAAAAAAAACTTGGGGAGGGG